TATTTAATACTGGGGCATTCCTTGCTGAAAGTAGTAGAAATAAGCAGTGGAGAAAGAGAGAGAAAATTAGCTGTAGTAGAAGCAGCAGTATAGGAGAATAAAGAAGAAAATTACAGAGTCTCAGTACCTCTTGTTAATTTCGCCAAGCGAGTGCTAAAACCTCCACAACACTTAAGACACAGGCAGTTGACCTCTTGCTTTTTATAGTTTCTACACATGTAACATAGAGCAAAAATTTAATTTCTTTCCCATTAATCTATTTTTATCATTATTGTATAGGTAATTAGGTCTAAATCTCCCCATTGAAGAGTCCTAATGCATGTGGTTAATCTCTCGTTAATCTTAATCTCTTCCTAATCTCTGCACGACTCAGGGTCGTGATCATTTATCTGTAGATAGGAAGCGCAAGGCAAAAAAATCAAAAAGTATCACTGACTTAGAAGACAGTGAAATGACCCTGAGGACCTACTTCGGAAATTTTTGTGCCTATGTGGGTCATCACTTGTATACAAAACTCGTAATTAAAACGAGTGGTTCCCTTAGGACTGCTTCTTAAAAATACATCTACAACTTTGTAACGTTTCTGTAAGATTTATGTTAAAGAAAATGGATATCATGACGAAAAAGTGAACTTCAATATCTACTTCTATCTATCAATATGCAGGCTAAGTCGCACGTAATTGTAAGGAGTAATCGAGCCCCGACCCCCAGGCCATGAGTTTGAGTTTTGAAAAAAAGTGTAAAACTTCAGAGGTTCGAATAATCTCTTCATTGATCTGTTAGAGCGTCTCATTCGCTAGTCGAAGTAAAATACGCATTACCAAGCTTACTACAAATACTGACGACAAGTTTTTCATAAGAAATTCTGCACAAAACTATCTGGAATCGCGCAGTCCATGACCAGTCATGAGTCCAGTCCTTTCTGATTGTTAAAATTTTTGGTAGCAAATTAAAAGCTTTATTCGGGATCGGTTCTTGAGTTATGATTTTATTGGACCCCCTTTGATCTGAGTGCATCGAATAAGTGCAAGTAACTAAAACAAAAGCACAGAATAATAGATGCAACTTCACTTTTTTTACGGCAAATCAGCTTTGAAGTTGCGCCATTAAAAGATGTCCCCCTCTCCTGTCATGCACGCCTTAGACATGCGTGTCATCTCATTATCTCCAATCACGCGACCCCAAGTGTTGACACCGATAAAACTTTGCCCTGCTTCAAAACTTCCTCCCAGTGAGTCTTGCTCTTGTCCTAATACCAGGAACCCACCTCCGCGGATCAAGTGACCTAAGTGTAAAGAAAATATAGAGATGACTGAGTTAAGCTTTCATTCGACGGAACCAAGGCCTCGTTGTTTTGAAGTAATGTCAGGCTTTCAGAAAACAATAAAACAAAAGAACCTGATTTGTAGCATCAAGCAGCGGGGCTGAATGTAAGAGGTGCTCCAAGAACCAGCGATAATAGGTAAGTTTTACTCAGTTATGGCAGAGGTGTCTACCTTTCGCCAGGCCGCGATCAGAAGCGGCAACTCGACCATCTTTGAACAATTGCCACGATCCAGCAATATTCTCGCATGTTATGCAAATGTGATGCCAGTCTCCGTCATTTGCCGATACAGACGTATGACTGAAGAGAAGCAAGGATGAACAACTGTCACTGATTGGCATGATGAACATTTTCTTATAAAACTTTTTTAAAAAGTTCTTAATTTCGTACCTGTGGTAAACGATGTACGAACTCAAGTTCACATTATCAATACAACCTGCATGTGCTGTCAAGCTGTTCAGCGGTGAACTTTTAAGCGGTGCATTTACCGCATCTACTCGGAGCTTTAATTCTCGATATTTGAACCAAACTTCCCGTATCAAATGACACCGTCTTTATCTGTTTGAGCCTCCTACATAGATATAAAATCTCCTATAGTTATATAGAATCAGTTCGTTGTACTGGGCAGAAACAGCGTAGCTCAGCGGGCATCCGTTGTTTCCTGCAGTTGTTTTCATCCACAGACAAACTGTCACGGCATTGAGGCTTGGCATATTTCTTGAGATGACATAATCGCTGGATCCTTTTCGCGGGAAATACAGAGCATATACTAAGGTCAAAGAAAAATTAAATTTTTAAGTTCTTTTCCTCCTTCGAATGAATCATGAATCAGTAAAGAAATGTCTGAATGAATTTACTGCGAACAACAGCTGCCTGCTGTTTATTCCTAGAATATCTTACCCAATGGGCAATTCGGCTGCTTTCCTGTCCTTGAACCAATGCTCAAACAGTGACGTTCGGATGGTCCTCTTAACCAGTAACCTGACCTACAACTGAATGAAATTCACTCCCCTTCCCAGTTTTGCTGGCCATAAATAAAGCCATTTTCTAGTTTATTCAATGGGGGACAAACTCTGTGACCTGCAAGAAAACCAAAAAAGGCCCCTAAAGTAGACCATGAATACGTGGTTTTACCAGTTGTAGCCAGAGCGGTGTAAAATGCTATAGAGTGCAGGCGGAGAGCAGCGCTTACACGAAGGTTGTACTCCACTCCATTGACTGGACGGAAGACATGATCTCACGGACAGCCCGATGAGCCGATATCCCGGCATGCATGTAAAGGAAACAGATTCTCCTGTCCAGTAGCGTTAGCCATGCCTTTGTCTATTAATCGGTGAACCAGGATTGTCACAATTGTTTAAGGGTAAAAAGAGAAAGAATAGTAAGAATAATCGTTAACTTAATCGTTATCTCTCATAGTTCTCCTCGAGCTTCACATTTGGAAGTTTGGTTCCTTACCGAAACAGATTATGAGCGCAAAAAAGATAAGAGGATACTTTGCAACAAAGGAAACCAATTACTTTAACTACTATTTATAGTAGTGACTACCTAAAACTGTATTCGCTTTGGCTGTAGAATTCTTGTCATTATAAAGTAGAGATGTGTAGTTCCCAGCATCACTCGGCCTGAACTGATGAATAACGAGCCCACCCCTTATCAAACCATTCTTGCAATATTACGCGTTGTCCGTCCTTGATCCAAATTTGATTTTCGGTGAAGGAGTACCAACTGCAGTGCAACTTAAGTTAACAGATTCATCAACATGCTGAACCTGTATTCTACTTGCAGGACTTGACACAATGCAAGGACTCACTAAAACAACAGATAAACGTAGTAATAACTGGCTGTTTATTTGTCACAGCTTTCTGCAGTCTATTGTAATCAAGTAGGTCCGTTCTGTTATGTATTGATTGGGCCCCAATTACCACTGTAAAATGCTGAATCTATGTGAAAGCCCGTGTGAGTGTGTAGGCGATAACTTTCCAGTTTGATGACAATAAAATCAAATGGAAAATAAACCAAATCTAAGTCAATCGTATTGAACTAAATGGGAAAATGGGAGTTCAGTCTACTTTACTGTAGTGGAAATATTGAATAACTAAATCAGCTGGGAGCTGTTTAATTGATAATGACGATAATAATAATAACAATAATGATGATGATGATCATGTGATGGTGAAGATGATGATGATGATAATGATAGTAATGATGATGATAACGGTAATACTAATAAATATATCTTATTAACCAAGCGCGAGGGCCGTACTGGGAGAATATCGGCCCGAGGTCTTGACATTACGGACCGAGCGCAGCGAGGTCCGTACAAAAAAGACCGAGGGCCGATATTCTTCCAGTACGGTCCCGAGCAAGCTTGGTTAATAAGAGATTTATTATACGACTGAAGTTCAAAGGGACACAAGTGCGGTATCATTGGGGACCATTCGGGACAGTGCCCGGTCCAATACTGAGAGAATATTGAAGAGCAATAGAGCATTTTGATTGGTTGATTTCATTTATTGGCCCTCTGACTGCCTGAGTTGTGTAATAATGAATGTTATTACAACGATGATTACGGTGATGATAATGAAGTTGAGGATGATGGTGATGATTATAATCATAATATTGACAATAATAATAATAATGAGAAGAAGAAGAAGAAGAAGAAGAAGAAGAAGAAGAAGAAGAAAAAGAAGAAGAAGAAGAAGAAGAAGAATATTATTTCCAAGTGTACATTCTTTTGATCCGAATACCTTACCAAACTTTCAGTTGTTAAAGATAGATCAGTGTGCACCTTGAAAGTGAGGGTCGGGGCTCTGATCCACTGTTCTAACAAAACTATATGCAA